TGGCAGTAAATCAAATAGCAGGTTTTTGTTGTTGTTGTTTTAGTTTTCCCAAAGAAAGCAGTGTCTTTCGTGGAATAAGCATGTCCGTGGCATATGAGTTGTTTAGACATAAAATTTATTTAAGCTGGTTTATCTGCATAAATGTCTTGAGATTTTAAAGCAGGTACCCTGTTCTCTTTTGTGAATCACAGTGGATGTTATTTTAAAATTTCTTAATTAAAAAAAGATATGTGGACTTGAGCTGTCATTGTCCATGATAATAGGAGTTGGTTAAGCCTCAGAAACTAATTGTAAAAGAATACACAGCCTGTGATACTTTTACATAAATTTTAAAGGCATGCAGAAAAGTTTATACATTGCTGATGAGAATATAGATTGGTATTATCTTTATAGAGTGTGCCAATATTTATTTATTTACTTTTGGGTGCCACTATTTATTACACTTAACCTAAAATTTTAACCTCTGGGAATTTATCCTATCGGTAAATTCATGTGTGGAAAATTCCTTACCAGATGGTTCATCAACATAATAGATTACAAATAACCTTTTTAAGGAGTACAATAGTTAAATTATAGTTAATCCATACAGTGGATTATCTTGTAAACATGAAGAAAACAAACAAAAACAACTCAAGGGACTTCTTACAATTTAGAATGCATTTTCCAAGATGTATTTTTAAAAAAACAATATCTTTTGTTTTCAGTGAATGTTCACACAGCAAGTAAGGGTCCCTTTCTGCAGAAGTTGTTCGGTGACATCAGTTACATTTTCGGGGGATATCAGCAATCCCATTAATTACATTCTGGTGGTTCTGTTTCTAGGACTGTTTTCCCTCTTTCTTATCTTTGCGTCAGAGTAATTGTTGACCTTTTGGTTTTCTGTAGGTTTTTTTTTTTTTAATGGAGCTCTGTACACCTGGGCAATGTCTTTTACATTGTATGCTATTCTGTTACTTTACTAAACATCAAGTGAGTTCACTGGATACTTCCAGGCTTAAAAAGTATCACAGGGAAGTAGTCTCAGGGAGTTCTCCAGTCTCACTTGGTTTAATAAGTCTGGACTATTTGAATTCTGTTTTATGTTTTACTTCTGCTTAAATTGGGCCCATTAATTGTAGCCTTGAACAGGGGTGGTGGCCAGGCACCGTAGAGTTCTCCTGGTCTCAGGGTAGGGGAGTCTGTGGCCTGGGTAGGCTACTAAGCCTGTGGAGTTGTTTCTTCTTTGAGACATTGGTCTTCTTTCTCCTCTGCCTTGAATAAGTAGATGACAATATGTGTATCTTAGATGGCTGCTTGCAAACTTTTAAGACTTCCAGACATTTCTTTATTTTACTAGAATGAAGAACATGAAATTTTTGGTGCCACTTGATGGAGTTATTCCACAGGATTAAGGATCTAAGCTTCAAACTCAGAAAACCATTCTCAAAAGGTGTGTGATTATAGCTCAGAAGGAACTGAAGTATATACGCATGCACCTACATATCTATACATACACGTACACACACATACTTCCATCTGGGCACACATATTATTCAACTGTACCTATCTCTAATGTAGCAGGTTATGCTGTTGGACTGACAACTGAAAGGTCAGCAGGACGAAAGCATCAGCCAATCCCCAGGAGAAAATTGCAGCTTTCTGATTCCCTAAAGATTTACAGCCTTCAAACCCATAGTGGGCTATGCATTGGGCTGCTAACCACAAGGTCAAAAGTTTGAATCCGCCAGCCGCTCTGCAGGAGAAAAATGGCGCTTTGATTCCCATAAAGATTGAGGTTCAGAAACCCACAGTTTCTGCACTGTAGGATCGCTTTGAGTCAGAATCGACTTGATGGTAGTGGGGACCAGTCTGTACACAGATATGCCTCTGTATCTGTATATATGAGCATACATTCATTTTTTGGTTATTATTGATGTTGTTACCAGATTGTCGTTTTTTTTCTTTTTAGCAAAAACATCCTTCTTTCTTTTGCACTTCTTAGTGATACATCAGCGTCTACTTTGGTCAAGCTGTGCTCCCAAGATGTATTTTTAAGAGGAAAATCAAAGGGTTCATACAGTACCTACTGTTTACTAAAGGCAGGATTTTAAGTGTCCAAGTATAACTATTTGTGTGTGCATAGAGTGCCTCTTTACAGATACACAAAAAATTGGTATATTAGTTCCTCCAGGCAGGGGAAGGAAGCTGCTGGGGGACATTATATCATTTCATTGGCTGTCCTCTTCCACCTTCAGATTGTGTGTATCACGCAGACAAGGCGTATTGAAAAGATTCTTTACAATTAAAGTTGCAGTGTTATGTTTCTGGATTCATATACAAGCAGTAAACATATATGAACATGTAATTAACTCACTCACTGCCATGGAGGGAGTCCATTCTGATTCCTAGTGACTCTATAGGACAGCGTAGACTTGCCCTGTTGGTTTCCAAGATTGTGAATCGTTATGGGAGTGGAAGCTCATTCTTCTCCCATAGAGCTATGGCAGGTTTGAACTGCTGATTTCGTGGTCAGCAGCCCCACACATAGCCCACTGTGCCACCAGGGCTACGATATGAATGTGTAGGAAATATAATAAGTAGGAATATAATAAAATATAAATTCAGGATAGCGCTTAACTGTAGGGAGAGAAGAAAGAGAATGAGATCTGACTTCTGATCTGGGCTTCATTTATTGATTACGCTGGTGGGTGGGGGTGTGAAGGTATTTGTAATATCACTCTTTTGTGGGGTTAGGGGAGCCTTATGTTAAAGTCTTTTGTTAAAAATAAAAGTAGTTAAAACAATTTCCACATATGAGGGGGTACTCCCCAAAACCCAGAATTGTACTGGGTGGAGCACAACTTTTGTACTATGCATTTTTCACACTGGGTGAGCATCCAGTGGGGTTGCCTGGGTGGGCTCTCTCTCTGGTCACAGTGAATTTTTTCATAAAAGCGGTTTCGCTCGAACCTCGTTCTTTGTGATGGCTGATTCCAGAGAACAGCGTGCGCCTGTGCGATTTTGTTTCCTGCTTGGGAAAAATGCCACAGAAGCTGTTGTGATGTTGAGCACAGTATTTACAAGGACAGCGCTATGGGAAGAGCTCGAGTACACGAGTGGTTTTCTTGTTTCAAAAAAAGGTGAAATGTCAATTGGTGACAAACCTCATTCTGGATGCCCGTCAACTTCCTGAATGGATGAAACTGTCAA